TGTGTATAATATACCTAATGCATATTATACATGTTTAACCCACACACATCACATATAGGCACTTTCGAGGAGCCGTGGTTTAACTACAGCCTTGAGAGGCACTGCCTTAGGAAGCACGGCGCCAAATTTCTCCTTCATGTCGAGCTCCTCGACGTCATCGGCAAGCTTCCAATGAAATGAGTGCAACAAAGACCCGAGCCCGTATTGAAGCATGATGAGTCCTGCATGCATTCCCACGCAAATCCTTCTCCCGGCGCCGAAAGGTATCAGCTCGAAGTCGTTCCCCAGTGGCTCAATCTTGGCGTTTCTACCGCTTAAGAACCTCTCCGGCTTGAACTCCAAGGGATGCTCCCACACGTCGGGGTCTCTCCCGATGGCCCATACGTTGACGATGAGCCGTGTGTTTGGGGGGATGTGGTAGCCGTCCACCTCGCATGCCTCGAAGGTGTAGTGTGGGACGCTGAGCGGCGTGGAAGGGTGCAGTCGTAATGCCTCTTTGCAGATGGCTCGTAAGTAGGGAAGGTTTGGCATGTCAGACTCTTCAAGCCTACGGTTCTTCCCGATTACTTGGTCCATCTCATCTTGAGCTCGCTGCAGGATGGTTGGGTTCCTTAGCATTTCTGCGAGGGCCCATTCGATTATGATGGATGATGTATCGGTTCCGGCAATAAACATATCCTGCAAGGAGAAGAAGTTGGTGTTGGCGTGGTAGCAAACATGCATGATGAACTTATAAAATAGGAGAGCCTCCAATAAAGTACGCATTAGGGTAATGTCTTTTCCCCTCCTGGGAGAATCTTATGTGACTCAAATAATGGTGCCATAATCGAGCAGACAACGTAGGAATTCCTGCGGAGCACATCTGCGTACGTTTTGTGGCTCTCTATCTATATGTATATCTAGTGCTGGTTTGGTTGCAGGATCCAACACCTGTTCTGACAGGATATTTACCATCACTCTTGGTCAAATGATAACGATGACTAGAGATATTTGCGTCCGTCGTTAATTGGCTGTCCGTAGCGAAGAAGAGGGGGGAAGGAGAGAGAGGGAAAGAGAGCTCACAGAGATAAATCCCTTCATGTTGACATCAGAAAGCGACACCCCATCAGCGTCAACCCTGTTGGCCATCACAAGATCCAGCACGTCCGGCCTCCCCTCGCGCTCGTGCGCCGTAGCTTCGTGCTCCGCCATGAGCGACGTGATCAGAGCGTCTAACTTCACATGCACCCGGCGCAGCTGCCGCTGCACTCCCTGCAGGTCCATCCACGCGATCGCCGGCACAAAGTCGCCGATGCTGAACTTCCCCGACCAAGCTAGCAGCTCCGTGATGGCGTCCTTGAACTGGTTTGATTCCTCTCCCTGCGACTCAAACACCCGCCGCGACAGCATTACCTGCCCGATGATGTTGGCGCTGGCGCACACCATTGCCTCCGACACCATCACTGGCCGCGAGTTCCGGCTGGACTCGAGCATGGCGCGGAGCATGCGACCGATTTCGTCGCAGCGAACCGGGGCCCACTCGGTCAGTGCCTTGCTGCCGAGAAAGTGGAGGTTAGCGAGCTTGCGGAGGAGCTTCCACCGAGGCCCGTAGTTGGCGAACACGAAGTCCTGGCCGTCGTAGGTGACGTCCTTCCCGCTGATGGGCAAGGGGCGGTTGGCGAACTGAAGGTCGAGCGCCTTGAGAAAGGA